AACTGTATAAATCTTAATTATGTTGAATTGGTTCATAGTGCTTTCCAGATCTACTATACTCTTCTACTTTTCTGTCTACTCATTCTATTATTAACTTTTGAGAGTTTGATACTGAAACTCCAACTAAAAATTTATGTACTTAAAAAATAATTGTAATATATAGTGGAACTATTAAAAAAAAAGAAGAAACCTGCAAAAACCTCTCTAGTTGGGAATATACACCCACAAGCCCACAATAAAGATTTGAGGAGACCCAGCATATCTGAGCTCACCGGTAAAGGTCTTCCCCTGCATGAAGGCAGTTCTTAAAAGACTGGGAGATGCAGTTTTCAAATGGAATATCCCAAAACAAAGTAGCAAGGCACACAAAAAGAAATGAGGAAACACAGCCCAACTAAAACAACAAAATAAATCTCCAGAAACTGACCCTAAAGATACTGAGGTATATGAATTATCCAATAAAAATTTTATAGTAAACTGGCATCACTGAGCTCAGGAAAACAACATATAAGTAAAATGAGAATATCAAGAGAGAGAAAATACTAAAAAGAACCAACAGGAAGTCTGGAGCTGAAGAATACAATAACTGAATTGAAAAATTCACAGCATGGGTTCAGCAGCAGTCTTAAATCCATCAGAACAAAGAATCAAGGAACTAAAAGGTAAGTAATTTAAAATTATCCAGTCAGAGGAAGAAAAGAGAAAGAAGAGTGAAGAAAGCTTAAGGGACTTAAGGAACATCATCAATTGGACCAATGCATGCATTACAGAAGTCCCAGAAGAAGTGTGAAAGGAGTAGAAAGTTTATTTGAAGGAGTAATAACCAAAACTTTCCAATCTGGGGAAAGAAATGGACATTCAGATGTAAGAAACCCAATAACTTCTTATAGGATACAGCAAAAGCAGTTCTAACAGAGAATTTCACAATGGTAAATGCCTACATTAAAAAAGTAAGATCTCAAATAACCGATCTCTACACCTCAGAGAACTAGAAAAAGAATAAATTAAGCCCAAAGTTAGCAGAAGAAAACTATAGGAATTAGAGCAAAAACAAAATAGAAAATAGAAGGAAAAACAAAACAAAACAAAGATGTGGTTTTTTAAAAGATAAGCAAAATTAAAAAACCCTTAGTTAATAAAAAGAGAAAGAAGACTCAAACAAAATCAGAAATGAAAGAGGAAGGGGCCTTACTGCTGGCTCAGTAGTAAAGAATTCATCTGCAATGCAAGAGACACGGACGGGTTCAATCTCTGAGCCAGGAAGATCCCATATCTGCAGAGCAACTAACTAAGCCAGTGCACCACAACTACTGTGACCTTGTGCTGCAACGACTGAAGCCCACACTCTGCAACGAGAAGCCATGTACCCCAAAACTAGAGAGGAGGCTCTGCTCGCTGCAACTAGAGAAAAGCACGCAGAGCAACGAAGACCAGCAAAGCCAAAAACAATAAAATAATTTTTTAAAATAGAAAGGATTTTAAGAGACTACTATGGAAAATTGTCAACAAACTAGATAACAGAAAAAAAATGGATAAATTCCAGAAACATATAGCCTATCAAGACTAAATAATGAAGAAAAAATCTGAACGGACCTACAACTAGTACAGAGACTGAATCAGTAAACAAAAGCCTCCCAACAATGTTTGGGATTCAATGGCTTCACTGGAGAATTTTGCCAAATATTTAAAAAAAATTAACATTTAGCCTTCTCAAAGTCCTCCACAAAATTTAACAGGGAACACTTTCACACTCATTTTATGAGGCCAGCAATACTCAGCATCAAAGATGCTTCAAGAAAGGAAATACAGACCAATATCCCTGATGAATATAGACATAAATCTTCAACAAAATATTAGCAAAGTGAATTAAATAGCATATTAAAAGGATCAGAAGTGGGGTTTATTCCAAGAATGAAAGGACAGTCAAACACACAAAAGCCAATCAATGTGACACATCACATTAACAGAAGGAAAAATCATGTGATAATTTCAATAAATACAGAAAGTGCATTTGACAAAATTCAACACCTTAAAATGATTAAAAACACCTGATAGACTAGGAAGAGAAGCAAATTACCTCAAAACAATAAAGGCCATATATGAAAAGCTGATGACTAATATATTATTATTATTATTTTTTTCTAATATATTTTTAATCATGAAAAACTGAGGTTTTTCCTCAGAGACCAAGAATAAGGCAAAGATGTCCACTGCTGTCATTTCTATTCAACACAGTAGAGCAATTAGGTGAGAAAAGAAAATAAATGGCATACAAATTTGAAATGAAGAAGTAAAATTTTATCTGTTTGCAGATAACATGATCATATACATAGAAGACCCTACGGACTCCACCAAAAAAAAAAAAAAGAACTTAAGTAAATTCAGCAAAGGTGTGGGACTAAAAAAAAAAAAAAATACAAAAAGAAGTTGCATTTCTATACATAAAAATGAACAACCAGAAAAAATTTAAAATCTCATCTACAAAAAGCATCAAAAAGAATAAAATACTTAGGAATAAACATTATCCAGAAGGTAACAGACTTACACACTAAAACTACAAAGCACTGCTACAAGAAATTTCAAGACACAAATAAATGAAAAGACATCCTGAGTTCATGAACTGGAAGACTTAATATTGCTAAAATGTCCAACTACCCAAAGCAATCTACAGATTCAATGCAATTCCTGTCAAAATCTCAGTAGCAGTTTTTTTCCCCCCAGAAATAGAAAGATCTATACTATAATTAATATGGACCTACAAAGAATCCCAAATAGCCAAAATAATATTAAGTAAGAAGAACAAAAGTGGAGGCCCCATATTTCTGATTTCAAAGCACATCATAAAGTTACAGTAATCAAACAGTATGGTGTTGGCATCAAAACAGACATACAGACCAATGGAATAAAACGGAGACACTCTCACATTGATGGTCAACTGATTTCAACAAGTGTGTTAAGAACACATAATAGGAAAAAGATAGTTTCTTTAAAAAAACAGTACTGAGAAAACTGGATTTCCACATGTAAATGAATGAAACTGAAGCTTTATCACACACTACACAAAAATCAACTCAATATGGATTGAAGACTTAAACATAAGACATGAAACTATAAAACTTTTAGAAGAAAATATAGGGAAATACTTCATGACACTGGTCTTAGTAATGATTTTTAAATTATGATTTGGCAATGATTTTCTGGATATGCCACCAAAAGCACAGGTAACCAAAGCAAAAAGAGACAAGTGGGACTACATCAAACTAAAACGCTTCTGCACAGCAAAGGAAACAATCAACAGAGTATAAAGGCAATTTGTGGAATGGGAGAAAACATTTACAAACCATCTGATAAGGGTTAATATCCAAAAATAAATAAGGAACTTCAACAGGTATATGAAAAGATGCTTGATATCACTAATCAGATCAAATGCAAATCAAAACCACTGTGAGATATCACTTTACACCTGTTAGGATGGCCGTTATTAAAAAAACAAACCAAAACCAAAAGAAAACAAAAGTATTCAAGGATATGGAGAAAAGGGAATCCTTGTAAACTGTGGGCTTCCCAGATGGCGCTAGTGGCAAAGAATCCACCTGTCAATGCAGAAGATGTAAGAGATGCAGGTTCAATCCCTGGGTTGGGAAGATCCGCTGGAGGAGGACATGGCACCCCACTCCAGTATTCTTGCCGAGAGAATCCCATGGACAGAGGAGCCTGGCAGGCTACAGTCCATGGGGTTGTAAAGAGTTGGACATGACAGAGTGTCTGAGCACACATGCACATTGTAAACAGTTGGTGGGAATGTAAAATAGTGCAGCCACTAAGAAAATCAGTATGGAAGTTAATAAAAAAATTAAAAATAGAACTATTATATGTTCCAGCAATCTCACTTTTGGGTATTTATCAAAAGAACTGAAAACATGATCTAAGAGATATTTGCACTCCTATGTTCACTGCAGTATTATTCACAATAGCCAAGAAGTAGAAACAGCTAAATGCCCACCAACATATCAATGGATACAGAAAATGTGGTGTATATACAGTAGAATATTATTCAACTTAAAAGAAAAAAAAGGAAATCCTGCCATCTATTACAACATGGATGAACCTTGAGGGCACTGTGTTAAGTGACATTAGCCAGTTACAGAAAGACAAATACTGCATGATTCCATTTATATGAGGGATCTACCATAGTCAAGCTCACAGAAGCAGAAAGTGGTATGGTGGTGGCTAGAGACTGGGAGAAGGAAAAGGGGAGTGGCTGTGCAATGGGTACAGATTCAGTAATGCAAGCTGAAAAAGTCTGAGAGATCTGCTGCACAATGATGTATACATAGTGAACAATACCGTGCACTTTATGGTAGATTTCATATTATGTGATTTTTACCACAATTACAATGAAGTTTGTATCACATGACTTGTTCTCAATGAATGGATGCCAACTTTTAGGGATTAGTGTTTCCATCTGCAAGTACTCACATCTTTATGGAACCGGACTAACATCGAGCTCCCTAGTATGATTTTCAAACTCCACTCTCCCCTCTTTAGGAATCAGAGTGATACTTCTCCATCTTAACCTTCTAGTACCTTTCCTTTCATTTAAGATTTCCTAAACATTATTCACAGTCATATAGAAAAATGCATCTGCAAGTTCTCTTAGAACCATGAAATGAAATTATTACAGGGCAGAAGGACTGAAATAAATGACAATGGTTAGATGTTTACTTGCTTTCTTATGTACGACTTACCTACCTCAATTTCTTTCTCACCAATGGTGTTTGTACCCTTTCCAAACTACTGTGCATTCTCTCATAAGAGAGTGCTTTAAAACAAAACAGTTGAGTAATTCTGCTTTCTCTATCTGGTCACATTACACCAAACAGCAGGCCCAAAGTTTTAACAGTAAAAGTAATCAAATGCATCATACAGTAAATAAAAATTATAATAATTTATATTAACTTTAAGAATAGAGCTATTAAAATTCTAATTTCACTGCTTACTTTCAAATATGCAGCTGCCTCTTGAACAGAAAGTGTTCTCTGACTAGAACTGCCACATTCATGATCTCCTGAAAAGATTAGCATATTAATTTTGAATCAGTACTATGTTAAACAAAAGAAAACAAATATAATTAATCAAAACAGTTTTTATAAAATTCACAATTACAGATTGTATTATTATAATCAGTAAATAAAGAAGATAAACACACAAATTGTCTAGAAAAAACTTCCAATAGGCAATATAAACAAGTATTTTTACATAAACCACAACCTTTATATGCATTTCAATCTACATAGAAACACACCTTCCTTTCATATTCACAAGAAATTGTCAGCCAGGGGTAAGAACCAAGTAGTGCTCACTGACGCCTACTCATAGGTCTTGGTGCAAAGAAAGCCCTCTATGCATGTATTTTTCAAGGGGGAAAATTCATTGTGCTAATTTGTACATCTATTACTAAAGCTAATAATTCAAGACTCAAGTAAATCTGAATTAAAATGTCCATTTTGGAGTATTACTAAGCCGACTTTTAGCAAGGCGTATGCAAAACTTAAAAAAATATTGTAACACAGATCAACAGGGAAATTAGATAGAAGTTTCTAGCTATAATCAGGTGTACTACATACAAAAGTTTGGAAAACTACACTTTCCTTTTCTCATAGCTATTTGTAAGAGAATCCAAAGCTTTAGTCACCCCACCAGGCTCTCTATGGTTATGAGATACCAATTATCCTTACAGTGAACTTCAATTTTGTTTTTCCTACTATTTCTTTCAAGTACTTAAAAAAATTTTTTTAACGTAAAAGTATAATAGTTAAAGTAAAATTTTTGGCAAATTTTTCCATCATAAAAGCAACCATATTCCAACTTTATAAATTTTGTTCCAGATTTTAATGGTCATAGTTGTAAAACGAGAATATCTATTAGATGAACCAAAAAGTCTTCAAACTTTATAATCCATCCTCAGAGATTCCGATTCCACAGATCTATAGCAGAGGCTGGCAAACCCAAAGACCAACTGTGGCCTACCACCAGTTTTTATAAATGAAGTTTTACTGGAACACAGCCACACTCCTTCATTTATGTATTATCTATGGCTGCTTTCATGCTCTAACAGCAGAACTGAGTAGCTGTGACAGAGACAGTCTAGACCACAAAGCCTAAAAATTTACTATCTGGCCCCTTCACAGATAAAAAGTTTGCAGACCCCTGCTCTACAGGAAGGTATCTGGATCTTTAAAAGCACTCCAGATTATGTTGATCTAAGACACTTCATAAAAAACTGCTATAGAAACAACTGTAGAAAAAAAAAAAAGAAACAACTGTAGAACCTTGTATTATAGAAGCAATATCAGGAATTCCATGTAGATTATATACTCTATTTCTGGGTGCTACAGCTACCAAATTAATGTCATTAGTTTGCAGCATATGTATGTAACAGTCCATCAGTCAATGCAAAAAACGCTTTTAATGATATACACAGAATTATCAGCCAAAAACACTGACCAGAATTAAAGAACTAACTTCCTCCTCCCAAAAAAAACCTTGGTGAGAGAATGGGAAACTATCCAGATTCTAAATGCCTATACTGGACCACAGAAGTTCCACATTTACCTATTAGGCTTCTACAAATGATCTGGTTTCTACAAAAGGACTTACTACATACAAAAGTTTGTAAAATTACATTTTTCTTTCCTTGTAACTGATTATAGGAAGAGAATCCAAAGTTTCTTCTTTCAGATTATATGTAAAGTAAGTGAAACGACTTAAAAGATGATAAACAACAAGGTGGTTACTACAGCTTACAGATGCTAAACTTGATGCCAATTCATTTCTCTTGTTCTAACTGCAGATATGCTGCATACCTGAGAATTTTCAGCAGAATATGAGGAAAACGCAACATGTCGGGAAAAAGAAATTCTGTAATCTATTTACTTTATCCAAAGAAACGACACCTATATCTCCACCAAAAGAAAATCTGTACTTTTATATTAGATCTGTGATTTTAATTTGCTGCTTACTCAATTCAATTGATATACAAGCTTTCAGAATTCTGTTACTATCAGTGCAATAAAAAAAGTGATAACTTATATAATACAGTATAATATCTATATTTCATCGTATACATATGTCAGGCAGGATAAAGGCCTTGATTAAACATATCTATACAAATAAAAACCCACTCCCTACAGGGCATAAAAACTTCTAAAGAGAAAATATCCACATGTATGTAACATAACAACACTGAACTTAGGAAAAACCATTTCTATTGCTATCACATGCTACATATACAAATTAATTTTCAAAACATTTTTACATACTATGAATGTTGAGACAATTACCTGCAAGCTGTGCCAATCGATCATGAAGCTTGTATAAAGTGTTCATCATAAGATTTTTCTCACTTTCCTAAATTTAAAAGAAAAACATTATAAAATATCTGATCCTGAGGGAAAATGCACCAAATAATAATCTTTGTTTGAAAAGAAAAATAGTAAATAAATTTAAAAATCATAGAAGCTACTTAATATGAAAGACAAATTCATCTTTAACCAATGGCTACCATATTTTAAAGAAACCTTAACCTAAGAATCTAAACTATCTAAATATTCTACTTTCTTGAGGATGATTGGGATATTGGCACTAACCTTAGTGCCAGAAAAGGTCTCCTATATAACAAACTCCGCCCACCATCAAAGCAATGCTCCCAATTCCCCTCTATACAATGCAAGCTTATGCATATTGACTGTTTTATTCATGTTTTGCTTTAACCTGACAACCACATGTCAACCAACCTGACATTTTTGATTAACCCTCAAACCACCCTGAGGCTCCCAAAGTGGCCGTGCATACGTTTATGAACCATTAAAGTGAAACAAGAATTTAATGAGCATCTACAACCCTGAATATTCACTGGAAGGACTGATGCTGAAGCTGAATCTCCGATACTTTGGCCACCTAACATGAAGAGCTGATTCGCTGGAAAAGGCCCTGATGCTGGGAAAGATTGAAGGCAGAAGAGGGAGACAAGAGGACGAGATCGTTGGATGGATCGCCAACTCAAAGGACGTGAGTTTGAGCAAGCTCCAGGAGATGGTCAAGGACACGGAAGCCTGGTGTGCTGCAGTCTATGGGGTCGCAAAGAGTTGGACACAAGTGAGTGACTAAACAACTGGGAGTTAAGAACTGTCCTCAGAAAAGTGAGAAATCCACGCCAACAAGATGATTCCTGTTCTTAAGGGCAAAAAAACATACTAAATGCTATATTATAGTTGCAAACAAAGTACAATGTAAATTCAGAAGACAGAGGGGTGGGAAGATCCATTTATAGAAGAGAGAATATCTGAACTGGGCTTCATACAAAGAATAGAAATGATCAGCATTCCAAGCAGAAGGCACAGCATAGGCCTGAAAGCATAAATGCTTTGGTTTTATTTCTTATATAACCAGTAGCCAACTTTGACTCAGGAAACTCCTGAAAAAGTAGTTTGGAATCAATAGCTAGAGAGCCCTAGATACCAAGACAAAGAGTCTAACTTCATCCTGAACATTTAGGAGAAGAAAAGTAAAACAGAAATTTGTGTCAGGAATATTATTCTGACCATATGAAAGGAAACCAGAGTGGAGACTCCTGCAACACCTAAGCACCCTCTCAAGAAGGCTAAAGCAATGAGACCTCAATTTAAGAGTAATCACAATTAACAGAGGCAGATATAAACAATGGAGGAGGGTAGGTTAGAAGAGGGGGTAAGAATAGCTTATCAAACTATTTGGAAAAAATGCATGATTCTTGAGGGGTTATGTCTTTATGATTTCCTTTCTCCCGAAGTTTCTGACAAAACAGGATTATTGGATAAATGTGACCAGGAACAAATTCATACAGGATATAAAAAGCTAGGAAAGTAAAGTTCATATGCCCAATGACATGCAATCACATCCATTTATTTTCACACTTATGTTCAAGGACAGAAGAGACAAGTTTGCACACTATGCATGGCATACTTTTGTCAATGACTCTTTAATGAGTGACAGGAAGAAGAAAATTCATCAGAGCTGCCACAATCCTACTAGCAGAGTCCCTGGTTTTATGTGAGTCGGTTGATAGAGACAAACAACAATCCTTCAGCAAACTACTTGCTTTCCAAGTAGCAAACTATTTGCTTTTCCCGTTTGCTTTTTCACCCCCTCAACTCTATCTCAATTAGATTCTGAATCAAGTCAGTTCTTATCAAATAAGATTAAAAATCCAAACTAAAAATCAGACATCAAAAAGTAACTGCAGGGATTGAAATACAGGATTCTGAAAGCTATGCATCTGTGAAGATTAAACCACAAAATCACTTTTAATAAATGTTCAATATAGTAAGATGAGGTGTCCCACTGATTGTGTTGATTACAGACTTGATATATAAAACCAAGGTAAATCTGACTAAGCTTTGGTACTAAAATAGCTGAGAATTTTCAGTCTCTCTCCTCTCTTATCTGGGAAAGAAACTGATTTTTTGTTTTACATGTCTTGATCATGCCCATCCCCACACCCCTTTCAAAATCAAAACTAAGTCCAAAAATTTGACACTGTTCTCTGTGATTATATCTTTAATGAATATCAGAGGCCTGGGAATAAACACCATCTTTCCATTCACATCTGTTAACACTGGACTAGACAAGCAGGACTATAAGAAAGCTGAGGGCCGAAGAATTGATGTTTTGAACTGTGGTGTTGGAGAAGACTCTTGAGAGTCCCTTGGACTGCAAGGAGATCCAACCAGTCCATCCTAAAAGCGATCAGTCCTGAGTGTTCACTGGAAGGACTGATGTTGAAGCTGAAGCTCCAATACTTTGGCCACCTGATGCGAAGAGCTGACTCATTGGAAAAGACCCTGCTGCTGGGAAAGATTGAGGGCAGGAGGAGAAGGGGACGACAAGAGGATGAGATGGTTGGATGGCATCACCGACTCAATGGACATGGGTTTGGGTGGACTCCGGGAGTTGGTGATGGAAAGGGAGGCCTGGCGTGCTGCAGTTCATGGGGTCGCAAAGAGTCAGACACAACTGAGCGACTGAACTTAACTGAACTGAGACAAGTAGAAAAAATAACAAAACGTAATCACATGTAACTGAATCTCATATTGGATAACATATATGCTATTATAGTCTCATACAAAGAATTTAAACACCCTAAAAAATGACCATCTATATTACTACAAGGGTGTCAAGTGCCATCCAAATGATCAACTAAATTATGATCTAAATAGTTTTTATGGAATATTTTATTAATGGGAACAAATCAACTTTGAAGAGTAGAAAGGCTTTGGTTCAATCATCTTTAGCACCGTTATGCTAAACTAGAGGTAAACCTGTAAAGTCTGTATATTAAATTCTAAAGTTACTTTCTTAGAGAAACTTATATTGGGTCATAGTTTCATTATAAACTTCTTCCATTCTGTCTGCTTTTCAAACTCTCTTCTAATTCTTGGCTTGAAGTGTGTCTACTGATCAACCTGAAAACAAGTTAAAGATCTACAAACAAATCCATATTTAAAGTAAGCTTTCAAAAGTAACCTTTCATTAGCAAAAATAACTTAATTTGAAATATTAATAGCTACCTTTTAATTGTGTATTTTGGTAAGCTCCAGATTTTCTTTTGGTCATATAAATCATTCTCTGAAGCAAATCTCATCCTCTGAATCAATCATTCTGATTTGTAGGAGGAAAAGTCAAACTATAGGGTGACTCCACCAAATTTTCTCATATAGTGTCACCTTTAAATATTCCCCTCTTCTATCTCAGCCAACTGTCTCAAGGATAGTTTCTGTATTTGTATCAAGTCTTTAATTAAATGATAATAATGGATTTTAATCATTTAGCACAGTGCCTCACACAGAATAAACACTTAATATAAGTGAACAGCCATTATCTTCATTGTAATTATTACTATTATTCGGAGGTTAGGAACTTCAGGTTCCTCCAAGTGGAAAATTATACAGAAGAAAATAGTCTTGCATTTTCAATGTTCAGTGAGTATATACTGCAAATTTAAACTAACATAGCAGTGTTAATCTTAATATCATAACTGATCAAGTCAACTTAAAAAAAAATAAGTATCGTCACAATAAAATGCTACTGAAAATAATCAATGCAAACAATCTAAAGTTGCAGTCTATGGATCTGACTTCACATTATTACATATCCTTTAGCACAACAATGTTTTCCATACAGGTCTATCTATATTACTGTCAGTTCCTATAATAATAAAACAATAACAAAAAAACAACTAATTGTGTATTATAATATAAACTCAAATATCAGAACCTTTGTATTGCCTATACTCATGATGCACAAGTGAAAAATATTTCCACGTAACACTTAGGTTAAAATTAATATAATAAATCCTTTAAAAAGAAAAGGAATCATAAAAAGGTTGCATAAGACTCTAAATCTTTTCCTTCCTGACAGCTGAAAAGGCCTGCCAATGAGCAAAAAATCCAAAGAGAATAAAAGAAGAGCAAAATCTGCTAGAGTATCCAACAACTAAGAAAACACACACACACTTAAAGGCTAAGACCAGATCCCCAGATGACATGCCCCTGCCATTTTACTTTGCGATTAGCTTTTATCTTATAATGATAAACAGCTCTGCTCTTTGGAGAAAATCTGTCAGATTTAATTACACTGTAGAAAAGGAATACTCAAAAATAAGAAAATGCCTCAGCATAAAAGAACCTTTAAAATTCCTATTGTCAGTTGATATTCATCCTAATACTTAAAATTATGATTAATCCTAGTGATTAATCATAATGATTAATTAATTTATGATTAATCCTAATCATAAAAAACATGACATAAAGTATCAGTATTAAGATTTTTTACTTACTTGTATGTTTCCAAATGTTTCATCAAAGGGGTTTTTTACTATCAAGGAAAGAAAAAGAGAGAACTGTTAGTATCATTTAATACCCCTAACCAAGCCCTCAGAAATGCTAAAACGTACTCTGCTAAAACTGAATGTAAACATGCAAACAAAATATAAACAAACATGATAACAAAGGTTAGAGAACTAATTTTTCAGACTTACTATATTTACCATTCTATGATTCTGTCGTTTGCTCTATAATAATTAAGAGCAGGTGCTCTGGTCTCAGACTTGGTTCCAGTCCTAGCTCCATTGCTTGCTAGCAACGTGACCTTCAACTACTATCTACTTGGCCACTCTAGGTTGTTGTTCCCCCTTCTATAAGGGAAGCATGCAATGACACCCACTCTATACAGGTGTTGGGAGTAAGTGAGATAAACCATACGAAACGCTTGATACAGTGTCACCTATGATCATCACTATTAATGGCTTCATTTTGGCTCCTTAACTTGGCTTCTCTTCAAAATATAGAAGTCAGTCACTACTGGAGGAAACATGCAAGATGCTTTAAAACTGAGTCATTTATTCAGAATTCTTACTTTCAGTGATTAAAAGACAAACCTGCCTAGCCCTTGCTAACATCTGGGAAAGTGTCAAGAAACATACACACACATCAAAATAGCTAAGGATTAGGTCTCAATATTAAACAACTTATTTCTAATAAATATTATAAAGAAAGGATTTACCATTTTCCATCCAACCTCCCCACATCCATCCTTCCCCACAAGATTCAAACAAGTTTATGGCTGAATATTATATAGCACTTTTCTAGTTATTATTTAGAATCTCCTCCTTACCCTCTACTTTAAAATTATATGCAAAAATGTTCAAAGATTTCAGATACCTGGATCTCTGTAAGTCAGGACACAACTAAGACTGACTGAGCCTACAAAGTCGTTCACACTGACCAGGTTTCCTTTCTGAGGTGCTTTTCTATTTTTATTTGAGAAAACAGGAAGTCCCATAGGAACCAGGAACTACGTGATTCTAAGAAAGTTTATGTGTGAGACCAGTTTAAATAAAAAAATACAATTAAAAAAGGGGGGAAAAACATATTCTGTTATCATCTTAGAAAGATTTGACAATGACTTTTCAGACAGCATTTTTCTATAAAGCAATAGGGTTTTCATGCCGAGAAAAATTTTTTAAAAACAAAAGATCAAAAGTACTCAATAGGAAATAGGAGAATATAACTTAAAGATTAAATAAAATGTTAAGAATTAGAACATGCTTGGACTGAAAAGATCCTTTTTAATACACTAATTTTTATTAATGTAAAATTTGAATAATTTAAAATTAAACCATATTTAGTTCACTATATTACCAAAAATGCTTTGTCAATCTACTTAAATTGGTCAAATGATTCTAAAAAAACAAGTATTTTATTTGCTCTCTATAAGAATAATTCTAAAATATAGGTTTTAATATTTATGAAGAAAAGCCATGAGAGGACCACTTTTTGACTGTTTATGCTTTTGTTTTTCTCAAGATTACTAAATGGAACTAGCTCTTCAAGTATCTCTATGAAAATATTACTGTAGATTGTGGATGCTCTGCTATGACTTTCTCACAAGGGATCATGTGTATTCAGGTTTGTATGCTCAGAGTCAAGCATAGCATTGAACAGTTAGTGCCTGAAAAGTGCTATTTGAGCTGTCTAGGCTAAATCTGCCCTTCTTTATTCAAGGCTGTGTGTTAACATAGAAGCGAAGTGTTAAAATTTTGCTGAAAGCTGGAAAAGGGTATGTCTGAGCAACTGGGAAGGGAGATGTATAGAATGACAATGAGAAAGCCAAAGAGCAGAACAATAATTCTGTTGAAAAACACTGCTCTGCCATTTGTTTCTTTCTAGGTTTCAGCCTCTTATCTAATGCACTTAGCTAGCTGAGTGTATGTTTACCTAAAAGGCCAACAAAATACACACCTACTGCTAAAAAAAAATCAAAATGTTCCCTGACTTCCGTGAAAACTGTCACATACTAAGTTAACAGACAGACCTACCAAATTAACAAACAAAAGTAAACACAGTCTTGAGGTTAAGATTAGAAAGGAAACTCCATCTAAAAGCAGCAGTTTTAACAAACCAAAAGCATTTCTATGCATCTTTTATTCCCCCAAATCATTTCAGTATTTCTGAAACTACATCAGTACTTTTTCTCTCACCCACATTACCTATGATCATAGATGGATAAAAAACATACTGTTTATCCCTAGTAAAAACATTTCTCCCTCCCCTGCTAATTAGGCCATTGTAGAGAAGAAACCATATTCTAAAAGCAATTTACAGGAAAAAAAATTGTCACCTCACTTTCTAGCCTCTTTTCTAAGGATAGAAACTGAGAGTAAATTATAGTTATTGCTTTGTTGTTGTTGTTGTTTACTTACTTAGTCATGTCTGACTCTTTATGACTCTACAACTGTAAGCCCTCCAGGCTCCTCTGTCCATGGGGTTTTCCAAGCAAGAATACTGGAGTGAGCTGCTATTTCCTTCTCTAGGGGCTCTTCCTGATCCAGGGATCGAACCTGCATCACCTGCACTGTCAGGTGGATTCTTTACCACTCAGCCACTAGAGAAGCCCTCTTACCGCTTATCCTAAAACAATAACAATAACAAGCTGGTATTTCAAACACTGTCCTCCTATATTCCCAACATCCCAAACAGCGTCCTATTACTGCTTTTTCTCAAATGCTTTTTCTCCTGTTGTGGCCATTTTTCCTTCATTTTTCTTGTCCAGATTATTTCAAACTTCAAATACACCAAACTTTTCTTTATAAATGTCCTTAAAATTTTGATTTCTCTTCTTCTGACTGTCCTAGCAAAAATCAGTCCTAAAAACATGTCTTTAATTATACTACTAAACTCTCCAAAATCGTTCAATGATTTCCCATCACATTTTGCTTCAGGGAACTAATTCAAATATTGTGATACTTTCCTACTTACTTACAAGACATACTGTTGACTCCCCTTCTCTAAACCTCTTTCTCCCACATAAATTTCAAAAATGTTACTAGTTTTACTGACCCTTTCTAACCAAGTGTAAACTTTTTCCATTCTCTTAGGGTGAGATCAAATTGTCAACCATTATGAATTATCAGATAAAAAGGGAAAAAAATGAAGTATATTACAAATATAGGTTTTTGTTTTTAGACATAATGCTATTACACATTTTTAGACAGTACAGTGTAAGCATAACTCTTATAGGCACTGGGAAACAAAAATTCCTGTGACTCCCCTTATTGCAATATTCACTTTATTACAGTAAGTCTGGAATCAAACCCACAGTATCTCTGAGGCACGTCTGTATTTGCAAAGCACATGTTTAACATTAACCAAATGAACTGATGCTTTCCTCAGGAAGGCCCCATTTTGGTCATTCAATGGCACTAAAGGAAAAAAAAGTCTATGGTGACCAAAGTTCTTTCACAACTCAGAAAGAAAGAAAAAGTTTATTCATTTAATAAATAAGTATTTCTTGTCTAGTTTGTGCTAGGCACTGGAAGTGTGGCCGTGAATAAAAAAAAAAAATTATCTGCCCTCAAGGAGTTTATATTTTAGAAGGATTAGAAGAGACAATGAGAAAATGCACTTTTTACAATACATGTGAAATGGTTCTAAGCACTTTGGAAATAAAACCGTAGGAATGGCATTTGACGTGTGAGGGAACTTCTATACTGTTTTCCCTAATGCCTGTACCAATTTTTACATTCCCACCAAGAGGGTACAAGAGCTCCCTTTTCTCTTCTTTCCGCAGACTGCACTGGAGTAGAAAGCTGAGAGAGCTGAGGGAACAAGCCACATGGATACCTGAAGGAAGAGGTTTACAGACAGAAACAAGTCCGCAGGCTGTGAAGCAGTTGCACGTCAGTCCTATTACTCCTGGAAATAGAGCTGTGCGGATGAGAGAGCAAATAGCAAGAAATGAAGTCAAAGATTATCTAAGGGAATTAATAGGTAAGATAATATAGGATTTTGAAGATTTTTTTATCTATTAATCTGAGCAAGAAATCTCAGAGAATAGGAAGCATGCTACCTGGCTTATGCTTTAAAAGAAAGACACACATAAGTGACAGGTCACTCTCAGAATACTTTCCTCCTGCTTCCTCTACATCAGCAAAGACAGTTTCAGTCAGCCCCATTTTTCTGTTCTAAATAGTTGAAACTACTATTACCAGCCATATAAAAATATTCTGCCAGGAAGAACTGAACAGACATTTTTCTAAAGACATACAAATGGCCAAGAGGTATACGAAAAGGTGCTCAACATCACTAACCATTAGGGGATTGGAAATCAAAACCACAGTGAGATATCACCTCATATCTGTTAAAATGGCTATCTTTAAAAAGACGAGATAAATTTGGTGAGAATGGGGAGAAAAGGGAACCTTTATACAATGTTGGTTGGAACGTAAATTGGTATAGTCACTATGGAAAACAATATAGAAGTTCCTCAAAAAAATTAAAAACAGAACTACCATATGATCCAGCAAATCTCACTATGAGGTATACATCCAAAGGAAATGAAAACATGATCTCAAAGAGAGATCTGCACCCCTATATTCATCACCAGCATTATTGTAATAGCCAAGATATGGCAACAACCTGTTATTGGATGAATGGATAAAGATGACACCGTACATATGTACAAATGGAGTATTATTCCGTCATGAGAAAGAAGGAAGTCCTGCCATTTGCAATAACATAGATGACCTTAAGGGCATTGTGCTAAGTGAAATAATTCAGATGAAGAAAGACAAATACAGTATGATATCACTTATCTGTGGAATATAAAAAAGCCAAACTCAAGAGAACAGAGAGTAGAGTGGTGGTTACCAGGGGATGGGCAGTGGGGGTAATGGAGGAAATACTGGTCAAAAGGTAAACTTATGGTTGCAAGATTGGGAAATTCTGGGTATTTAATGTTTAACACAGTGATTATAACTAACAATACCGTTAAAAACTTGCAGGCTGCTAAGAGCAATAGATATTAAATGTTCTCAC